GTACCTGTGTCTGGTGCGGAGCCTCCCTGCAACTTTAAATCAATTGATTTGCCTTTACTTATCGTATTTCCTACTGTTAATGCACTGTGCTCATGTCGGGTGATGCGCTCCCTGGAGCCCTCCTGTGGGAGACTTGGAACTGCATTTAAATCACTTTGTGCTTTTTAAGCCATTTAAAATAGTTTTTCTCACTTTTAAATACTTTCTGCCTAGAAATGATTTTTAATCAGAATTACCATTATTTAGGGGCTGCATGAACATGAATTGGAGCATCCCTGCACACTTCCCTCTTATTTAAAACCATTTTCAGTGAGTGCTGCAGCGTGATCTCTCCTTTTTCCTCTGCCCCTATTTAAAACACTTGCTAAGGTACAATATCTATTTCAGCCCTGATTTTGGCACATCTTGTAAATTAGTTAAATGTAGCCTTGTGTTTTTATTTAAGTCGCTGTTCATTGTTTGTTATATAAAGCAGATGTAATGATATCCTATGGATGCTGATGTGTGGATGTTGTGTGTCTTTTGATAACTTAGTTGAACTTGTTTTTAGCTGCATGTCTTTTCTATCTTACTGAACAAAGTCCCTGCGTGTGAAGTGCTTCAGCTGATAAGGCTGGTTATGAGTCAGAGGAGGAGCTGCCAACAGGGGGAAGTTGAAAGTGAAAGTATGAAGTCAGACTTGGCAGACTGCCAGACGCCATTTTACAGCTCGACACGAGGAGAACAACAGGGTGAGTGTTAACACCACGATCTGCTTTCTAACACATTTATTATTTACTCTGTCAAACTGGATGTCAGAAAATAACTTATTGGTTAACAATCTTCGTCCTAGAGTCCATTGAGACTTCTGCAAGTGTTGTACACTTTTATTATTTCCTGTTTTATGATTCAAGTTACATTACATGTGAGAGCCCCGCAGACAAATGGAGAACGGCCTGTCTGAAGTCTGACTGATATCATATATTTTAACTGTGTGTGTGTGTGGTGTGTGTGTGTGTGTGTGTGTGTGTGTGGTGTGGTGTGTGTGTGTGGTGTGTGTGTGGTTACTGGTGTATCTCTCAGACTGGAGAAGATGAGTGATTTAAAAGATGAGGAAGAGGACAAATCTTCAGTCTCCAGCTGTCTGTCTCTGAAGAGTGACCGGTCTATGGGTCATCGTCCAACCTTCAGTAATGAACCTGGACCCTCAGACACAAAGTAAGAGTTTCTACTGTAAACTGACCTGAAGAGGATTCAGTTTGTTGGTATCTGATCATCTCAAATGTTTAATGAAACCCAGTAGAGTACATTAACAAAGTTGAATTGATCTCTTGCTTCTTGTCATCATCAGAGATAGTAAATAATCTACCAGTGAAATCATCCTCACACTCTACATGTTGGACTTTGTGTTAAATTAAGCAAATCAGATACAAATATGTAAAACGTTTCACACTCGAATGAATTTTAACAACAGAAACCCACAATCACGACTCAACAACTCTAAACATCTTTAATAAGGTGAACAGCAGTGGCGGTTCTAGACCAATTTGACTGGGGGGGCCACTGGGGGGCCAGTTATTTTCTGAGGGGGGCACAATAAATGCAGGACGAAAAAGAGAACTAGACAGTATGAAGTAATTGCGCATAAGAAAACAATGCAATCCAGTTATTGGTATTTGTTTCAGTACACTTATTTATTTCAGATAGATCTTATAGTTATTACTGTTAGCTTCAGCTTAAGTTATAGTGCAATGTTTGCACTAACACCATATTTATATAAAAATAAAGGCAATGAACAGTTACATCTCTACTTTACATAAGGGTGTCTGCACAATCTCACATTACAGCAACAAAATCCTGAGTACCAGAAAATATACATTTAAAAAAAAAACTTTTCATTGTTAGGGGGGACACAGGGGGGTCAGAGGTCAGTGTTAGGGGGCACTGTTTAAATGTTTAAACATGTTTAAACTGTGTGTGTGTGTGTGTGTGGCCCCCCCTCCCCCCCCCTAGAACCGCCCCTGTTGAACAGTCATAGATCAAAAGCTGCTCTTTAAATAAACTAATGATGTTTAAACTTGTGTTGTTTCCACAGACAGAGAGCAGAGTCTACGGTCTCCATGTGGTCTCTGAAGAGTGACCTGTCTAAAGACTGGACTCCAGACTTCAGTAATGAACCAGGACCCTCAGACACAAAGTAAGAGTTTCTACTGTAACCTGACCTGAAGAGGATCCAGTTTTGATGTAATCTAATATATGTAACTGTTCTTTAATGAAAATCATGTGAGCAGTTTGTAAAGGAAACACGCAGCAGAGTAAGCTAACGTTATCTAAGGATATTTTAATATGCAATTATATTATCATTGTCTCTGTGTATAACATGGTTTTAAATAGCAACAATGTTGACAAATACTGATTTAAAAACTATATATATTGTCCAAAACATTATTTATCTACTTGGGCATATCTATGATATGTCTTTTTAAGATGTTTTATTAATAATAGTGATAACCTGGTGAGCTGGTTGTGTTTAGCATTAGCAGGTGAAACAGAGTTTTGTGAAATCACATGTAGAGTCAATGCAAAGACCCAGATCCGTGCCTGGCAACACGAAGGAAGTGAAGATGTTAAATTCATGTCACCTGCGTATTCGTGCAGCGTGACACATTTCAACTTGAGTGTAAAGTTAGTGACGCTCTGTTACAAAAGCTGTCAGTGTTGAGATTGTGCTCCTGTGGTCTCTGACGGTCTGAGGGCAATCAGAGAGGAGAGCAGAGCTCTACAGCAGCTCATATTCATCCATCCATCCATCCATCTTCTCCCGCTTATCCGTGGTCGGGTCGCGGGGGTAGCAGTTCCAGCAGAGAGCCCCAAACTTTCTTTTCCCTGGCGACATCAACCAGCTCTGACTGGGGGATCCCAAGGCGCTCCCAGGCCAGCGAAGAGATATAATCCCTCCACCTGGTCCTAGGTCTACCCCTTGGTCTCTTCCCAGCTGGACGTGCCTGGAACACCTCCCTAGGGAGGCGCCCAGGTGGCATCCTAACTAGGTGCCCGAACCACCTCAACTGGCTCCTTTCGACGCGAAGGAGGAGCGGCTCAACTCCGAGTCCCTCCCTGATGACCGAACTTCTCACCTTATCCCTAAGGGAGACACCAGCCACCCTGCGGAGAAAAACCCATCTCGGCCGCTTGTATCCGCAATCTCGTTCTTTCGGTCATGACCCATCCTTCATGACCATAGGTGAGGGTAGGAACGAAAATGGCCCGGTAGACAGAGAGCTTTGCCTTCTGGCTCAGCTCCCTTTTCGTCACAACGGTGCGGTAAAGCGACTGCAGTACCGCTCCCGCTGCTCCGATTCTCCGGCCCATCTCACGCTCCATTGTTCCCTCACTCGAGAACAAGACCCCGAGATACTTGAACTCCTTCACTTGGGGTAAGGACTCATTCCCTACTTGAAGTTGACAGTCCATCGGTTTCCTGCTGAGCTCATATTCAATCAGGGGTTATTCATGTTCCTGTATAAACCTGAGACTGTCGGTGGTGCTAACAATATACTCACTGCTGTACTTATGACTTCATGAAGTTACTCTGAGTGTTGATGGAGCAGCTAATGTTAGCCTAGCTTTAATCAACCGGCTCTCTTCAGAAAAAAAATTAAAAAATGTTATGCTCGTTGTGTTGGAGACAGACCTGACAAAGCATTAACTCAGGCTTTTTACAAATCAGTATCATTCTGTTGTTATTTAGGGCATCCTTTCCAGATGTTTATTCAACCCAGTCTCACGGCATTCGTGTTATAGTCACGACATTTAATCTATTGATTCGTGTTCACCAACACGATTCTCCCTTTTTTTCGTGTCACACAGAAAGATTTTAAAAGGAATGTATTTCTATTGGTAGCCTGCAGCACGTCTTTTTGTCCATTTCGGGTCTTGGAAGACCGGAAGCTGTTGGGTTCAATAAAAACATGTTCTTACTCAATATCAAGCCACGATTATTATTTTAATTTTAAAATCGTATAATGTCAGACTTTTTTTGTCGTCTGAGAGAAAAGAAATGGCTCAGAGCCTCAGAATACTGAAATCTGTATTTTTTTTCCTTCTAATTTGTTATTCTTTTCTAAATAACACACTGTTATTTACTCACCAATAACACACAATTATCCTTGTTTTTATTATCTGTTTAATTCCATAATCTCGTGCTTTTTGGCGTCCGTCAGGAACTGATTTCAAAATAAAAATAACCGGAAACAGACATAGGCCTATAAGGGACCATTTCGAGCATCATCGCGATACACAGCCACTGAACTGATTACCCAAGATCCTCAGCTGTTGTTTAAGCTTGCTGATTGGATGTTTTAGCCGCAATGCATGTAGGGATATGGTGTTAATGCGATATGAAATCCGAAAAACAGTTCTGAGTTTAGGATGGCCGAAGACACTACACTACCCATAATCCCCAGCTATCGTTTAGGACTACTGTCCCCGTGATTCATCTTCAAGCTCTGGGATTGGATGTTGGAGTGGCAGTGCGCCAAAGTTACGCCGAGCGTCAAACAGCTGTTTGAAATGGAACGAAACCACGGCAGACTATCCAAAACTGGAATCGACATTGGTGTTATCAAATGTAAAACATATAATTAATAAATGGGTGAAAATCGCTTGTATCCATAATGCGCAGCATTAATACCCACATGACAGCTCATTGTTACTTTGTAATTCTACTCTACTACAATTCAGAGGTTGACCTGGTATTTTACTCCACTACATTTATTTTAGTTACTTTGCAGATTCTGATTAATGATGTGAAATATAAACAACCCTTAAATCAGACTTTAGTTACACCTGAGTAAAATTCAGGGAAGGTGATTGTCAAGTGCCAACAATCAGGAGAGATATTTGATAGTTGGTGCTTGAGAAGACTAAACATTTATCTGCAATTGACATGAATGGAAACGAGTAATAAAGTATATTCATTACTCGTTATTCTCTACTAATAGTTAATTAAAGACTGTATATTATGGCTATTTTGCACATCCCTTTCAAGATTTCAAGACTTTCTAAGGTTTATTGACATATCATACACACAACTACGGTGTAGTTATGCAATGAATGAAAAACTTGGGTCGCAGCTGAGGTTCCTCAACAGTGAGACACAAGACATCTTTCAATATGTGTGTACCTCCACCATTAAACTGTCATATTCTGCACATTTCTTATGCTATCTACATCAGTGGTTCCCAAACTTTTTGTGCCCAAGGCACACCAAAGGACAAGTAAAAATCTCAAGGCACACCTATTGTGCAAAATAGCCCTTATAATACGTGTTATCACTCATATCATGTAAAATATCTGTAAATGTGCATAATTATTTACTAATGCCAAATACAATGTGACAAAGACAACTATATTACTCATGAAATATTTATTAACGAAATATTTCAGAAATTAATTTGAAACGTTATCAAATTAGGCTTCATCAAAGCAGCAACACACTCATTTAAACCAGACAGGTCACAACATTAAAAATGAGGCAAAGGAAACTCAGCAGAAATTCATCACAGAGAACTGTCAATGCAAGGAAGCTGCACTGCATGGTCCTGAACTACAAATTATAAATGTAACATTTCAGCAATCAGCATTGAAACATGTGCTATTGTAAATATCTTGCCGATTTACAAATGAGTGAGATACATGTGCCTGTCGGGGCACGCAGAATTTTTTTTATCCTTGGTGGCACTGAGGAGAGGGCCACTCGCAAGTCCTGTTCAACAGAGAGCCGTGACCTCCTGTTGTTCTTCATGTAAACCAGAGTAGAGAACGCCAACTCCAGAGATGGGGTTGTTACTAAAAAATGTTTTATACATTACATATTACTTTAAAAAAATTAATATATTACACTACTTCGTTACTATCTACATAAAGTAACTCGTTACTTTACACGTTGCTTTACTCGCCGAGCACGTACGAACTGCGCGTGCGTGAGTGGCAATAACTTTCCTTACCAGCAGGCGGCGGTAGTGTGTATTTGTCATTCAAAACAGGCAACAACCGGAAGACAGAGAAGAAGAACAGACTGCGTGATATAAACAAACAACAAATAGCTGTGCGGTAGCTTCACCTTAGCATGTGTTCTTTGCAGGTGCTTGTTGAGGTTTGACCACGTGCTGTTTCCAGCAGTGGATAACAGCTTCTGGCCTGGACACAGTTTGCACCTCACCGTCACATTCCTGTCTATTCTTCGGACGAACTCAAAATAATGGGCATACCTCCACCCCTCGAAAGTTATCGCTGACTCAGCCATGTTTATGCAGCACTGCACGTGGAGATGTGGACGCACAAATCGCGCAGATTACGTACATATAAACCTACAAAGTACTGATATAGTAAATTAAAAAGTAATTATTTTTGTGTAGTTGTATATTGCAATAATAACGTATGGTTGTCACAAAATCCCACGGCACACCCGGACTTGCCTCACGGCACACCGTTTGGGAACCACTGATCTACATACATAAGAGTATAATTCATATGTAGAAGCTGCTGCATCCAGTTGAAACAGAGGCTGGACTGTTTCTACACGGACCACTATTGCGGTAAGCATGTTGTAACTTCCGGTTGTTTTCATCTCCGGTGTATCCCGTGTGCCTGTGTCTGTTGCTGATAGCTTATTATCTTAACTTAATCGATCGTTTTAAAACTCTTGATCACGGCAAACTGCCTGACTTGTAAATCACACGTTACTATAACTTAAGCACTCACAACTCATCCTTCTCTTAGCGACTGTAACTCCACAGTTGCCTACACTCTTTTCGGGTTTGCTAACGGGTAGCTACCTTTAGCTTGATAGCTAGCCATGGGTCTTTCCCCACCCTCGGGTTCTATTTCCTGCTCTAACTGTCTCATGTTGGTTACTTCCCTACCTCCTTTACTGGTACCCGGTACATGATGTTTAAATGTAGTATAGTTGTTAGGTTGGAGGCGGGAATCATAGCCATAGAAGCCCGGCTCCGCATCTTAGAAAGTAACTCAGCTACAGGAAAGCCCATGTTAGCCGGTGCGGGACCGGGCAAAAGGTAGCTCCTATTAGCCGTCCCCCGGCAAATCCCGAGCAGCAGGGAGACTGGGTGACTTTTCAGAAGGGGCATAACGCGAAACCCGCAGGTCCCCACCAACCCGTTCACGTATCTAACA